GCAGATTCGAGGGACCAGCCAGTCTAGCAGAAACTGGGAACTACAGCTTCAGTGAGAAATCTTGTCTTAAAAAAACAAGATGGAGAGAGATTGAGGGAAATGCCGATATCCTAACTCCTGACTTCTACAAGCATCATACAAATAACTACACACTCATAGGATGTATTATATTTGCTATTGCTACTGGTAATAATGAGTTGTCACATCACTCCAACAATATGCTGTGGCTGTTACCCCATGGCATGGGGGTGGTGGTGGTGGTAACCTCTCCCAGGCAGGCCGAGGACAGAGGGCAGCCCCTTTGGCATCCTCTCTGTGTTTGACTTCTGTGGTATCGACTGTAGTTAGAGTGTTTTCTCTCCCTGAAGTTCCTGTCGTTTTTCTGCTCCCGCAGCCGCAGAAGCATCAGAATTTTAATAGACTTGGGCCCCGGAGCCCAACAGCAAAGCATCGCAATGCACATGCGGATGGGAGGTGCAGAGCCTCGTGAGAGCGTGGGGTCTGCAAGCCGATGGTACGATGGTAGGCGGCGGCGGCGGCGGCGGCGGCGGCGGGGAGGCTTCCGGGGCAATTCGGGGTGGTGGGGCACCTTTTTAATTGACTCTGTTTTCCTGGTCCTGGCCCTGTCCCAAAGTTAGGTTTGGTACCAGCATTTAGAACTATCTCATCAGGAAAGGTCTTTCATCTCTCGGAGAGTTTCCGAGTGTCAGTCACTGGGGCTGATGTTTCTGAATGCTCTTCTCGCCTCTCTCAGCCCTTTCTCCCTTGGCCTGTGCAGCCATTTTTTCCTTTCCCTCCCGCAGATCTCCTGTAAGCTCTCATGGCCCGCCCTCTTCTCTGGTAGCAGGTAGAGTGTGATGGAGTTTCAGAGTGCATCTGTGGCTTCAGACACACCCAAGAGCAACTCCTGGCTCTTACAGGCTGTATGCGCTTGGGCCATTCCCTAACCTCCCTGAGCCTGATTTCGTCATAACGCACAGGGAAGGTAGTGCCTGGCCGATAGATGTATAAACAAACCTCCTGTGTGGCTCTGTTTCTGTCTGTCTGTCTGTCCCTCCATCCCACCAGTCTGTCATCTTCACCACCTGCCCCTCAGCAACCTGGCCCAGTCTGCTGTTCCCCGGGGTTTTCCCAAGTTGCTGTGACGACCCCCTCTTCCCCCCACCCCGCCCCCACCCCACCCCCACTGTGTCTAGTATGTCTTCTCTGTTCCGTGGAGGAGAGGGTGGAGCTGGAGGCTAAGACTGGATGAAGTGTGGATGGGGAGGGGGTTAGAGAGAGTAGGGGGAGGGGGTAGAGAGGCAAGGGGATAGGGATGGGGGGGATTGGGGGGTAGGTAGGGGGTGGAAGGACTTAGGCAGTCCAGAGCATGGTGGGGTGTGTGTGAGAAAGTCCAGCACTAGCTGGCTTTGTAGGACCAGGATTCTGTGAACCTTCTACATCAGCGGTTTTCAACCTTCCTAATGCTGTGACCCTTTAGTGACCCCCAACTATAAAATTATTTTCGATGCTACCTCATACCTGTAATTCTGCTGCTGTTATGAGTTGTAATGTAATGTGTATTTTTGTAATTGTATGTAATGTAATGTGTAATTATGTAATTGTGATGTAATGTGTTTTTCGGATGGTCTTAGGTGACCCCTGTGAAAGGATCATTTGGTGCCCCCCAAAGGGGCCGTAGCCCACAGGTTGAGAACCATTGTTCTAGAGCTTTAGACAATAGGGCCTGCTTGGCCACAGGAGTAGTGCTCACACCACGAGGGAGCGCGGGACTATTCTTTCCGGTTCAGCTTTGCTGAGCCTTTTCCTCTGATGGTACTCTAACCCTCCTCCACTCTAGCTCTCCATTTCCCTCCTGGAAGGAGAGACGGCTTGAAACGTCCACTGGAGGAGTCTCCACTGTTTGTGGGGAGCGGTCCTCAAGTCACCCCGAGACCCAGGACGAGGTCACAGCTGTTGTGGCCTGTTGGCTGAGCCGGTGGGCAGTAGCACACGGGCCCAGGACTTGCTCCTTCCTGCCCTGCCCTGTGATCAGAAGGCAGCGGATCTGCAGGAGTGAAGAGCATTTCTAGGTCTTCGGCAAGCAGCCACCGTGAAATGTAATATGAAATCAGCTGTAATTGTGGAACTTATAACATGTCATGGGGTGATGCTGCCATCCAGAGAAGTTTCTAGAAGCCAATGAAGAATCAAGAAGGAGAATTAAAAAGAGAGCTACTGCAGCTACTTCCAGTGGGTGGGAAGCTTAGCTTCAGGGCTTCCAGGCCAGTGACTCTTTCTCTAACAGGTGTTCTCTGTGTTTCTGCACTGACCCAGGTATTCAGGCTTAGAGAGACTTACTCTCTCAAAAGGAAAGCAAGGAGACCGGAGATGTAGCTCAGTAGATTGTTTGTTTGTTTGTTTGTTTGTTTTGCCTGGCATGCATAAAGCCCTGGGTTTGATCCCCACCACCGCATAAAGCAGGTGTGGTGGTGCATCCCTGTAATCCTAGCATTTGGGAGGCAGAGCCGGGAGGACCAGAAATTCAGGGTCATTCTTGGCTACACATTGAGTTTGAAGCCAACCTGGACTTAAAAAAAATTATTTATCTGAGGTCATAGGAGGGCACCAGATCCCTTGGAACTGGAATTACAGACAATTGTGAGCTGCCATGTGTGTCCTGGGACTTGAACCTGGGTCCTCTGACTGAGCAGGCTTCCCCAGGCTTAGGGCTGCAGGGTCAGTTGGCTTGTTTCTACAGAATGAGCCCTGCCATGGCTGATAAAGCTGGAGTTCCAGAGCCGGCAAAATCAAGGGAGCAGGGATCCAGTGAGGAAGAGCCTCATATGAGTGTCATTTTGAAGTGAGCTGCAGTCTTGTCTGGCCACAGCCAGGGGTGGAGGAGTAACAGCCCCCACCACCCCCCCATCCACCCCCAAGCAGAGCGACACCTGCTCTGGTGCATCTGTCCCTGATGAATGCTGCTCATTGGGACAGAGGCTCTCAGGCACGGTGTGATTGATTTCTGGAGGACAGACACAAAGGCTTGCCCACAGTGGAACCTGGAGACGCTGTGCCTGTCAATCCATTTGAGGCATGGCATTTGACCTGCCTCTTTTCAAAGGATGAGGCCTGTCAGTTGGCTTGGCACCCCAGAGTGACTTCTGAAAACTCAGGCACTGGGAATGTTTTACCTTGTTAACTAAATGAAGGACAGACCCAGCGGAGGCATAACTGGCACAGTAGCATGCTCTAAATAACAAGGCCAGGTCAGCAACAACTCCCAGGACCATGCCAGATATAAGGGAGATGCTAGGATGGAACGAGGGTTTCCTGAGCATCCACTGCATCCAAGTCATGTGCACACTTGATATCACTGATTCTCACAATTAGCAGGGGGAGCTGATGAAATGACCTCCCAACATTCAGGAAGAAATGAAGGTTTAGAAAGGATGGGTTCAGGCCGAGGGTTAGAGACAGGAAGGGGTGGAGTCAGATCCAAACCAGCATCCCATCTCCTCCAGGGCTCCAGCTCTGCCTGTGCACAGTGAGAAGAAATGGAAGAATTATTGCCGTTGAGAGTTCAGGACTGGATGGAGCCAGGCGGCTGCTTGGGAACGGGCCTGCTTTCATGGAGATGTTCACTCACAGGTGACCCAGAGAGACGGCATGGAAGAGCTGGGAACTGCTACGCGTGGCCTTCATTTCTACTGCTATGACAAAATGCCCCCACCAAAAGCCGTTTACAGGAGAAAGAGCTTATTTGGCTTACGGCTCCAGGCTATGGTCCACCACTGTGGAACAGTCAAGGCAGGAACTCAAACAGCTAGTCGTATTACTTCCTCAGTGACTGGATAAGGCCAGCTGGTCAGCAGCGTTTCTCCATAGCCTCTGCTGCGGTCTTTGCCCCGACTTCCTGCCCCGACTTCCCTCAGTGATGGACTGTGACCCGGGAGTTGTAAGCTGAGATAAACTCTTTCGTCTCCAGGTTGGATTGGGTCATGGTGTTTATCACGGCAACGGAAGGCAACTCAGGACAGCTGACATTCACTTTCAGGCTGCTGTTGCCTCCATTAAAGCAATCAAGTTATCCTCATCCCAGTTGTGCCCACAGGCAGACCTGATCTAGACAACCGGCGCTTCATACTCTTCCCAGGCTGTATCAAGTTGACAGTTAAAACTCACCATCACACATCCCGCCATTTCCCACAGGACTGCTTGCTGGGGTCTGCGTTATCTGTGGTCAATCTCAGCTCAAAGGGCCTGACACTTGACTCTTTCAGAAGTGGCTCCACTGTGGTGGTATTGTGTTCCCCCAAAATATTGTGTACCTTAATAAACTTATCTGGGGTCAGAGAACAGGACAGCCACTAGATATAGAGGCCAGAAAATGGTGGCACACACGCCTTTAATCCTATCACTTGGGAGGCAGAGATCCATCTGTATCTCTGTAAGTTTAAAGCCACACTGGAAGCAGCCAGGCATGGTGACTCACGCTTTTAATCCCAGGAAGTGATGGCAGGAAGCAGAAAGGTATATAAGGCACGAGGACCAGGAACTAGAGCTGGTTAAGCTTTTTAGGCTTTTGAGCAGCACAGTTCAGCTGAGATCTATTTGGATGAGGACTCAGAAGCTTCCAGTCTGAGGCAACAAGATCAGCTGAGGAACTGCCAAGGTGAGGAAGCTGTGGCTTGTTCTGTTTCTCTGATCTTCCAGCGTTGACCCCAGTACCTGGCTCCAGGCTTGTTTTTATTAATAAGACCTGTTAAGATTCATGCTACACTCCACAGTTGCATGACTTTTATACCATGTGTTGCTGTGGTTTTCTATGTTTAGTTTTGGTCCGTTTCTTCCTATGTGTAACTGACAAGCCTCATCGTGGGCGGGCTGCATGGGAAAAACAGCATATCTAGTGTCTGTTATCCATGGCTTCCGGCATCTACTGGGAGTCTTAGAATATGTCCCCTGTGATGAAGGGACTACTGTGCCCCTTCCAAAAGACACGTGACATTCCTAATCCCAGGCACCTTGATGTAGGACCTCATTTGGAAATAGGGTTTTTGGAGAGGTGATGAAATGTGGTCATTTGTGTGAGTTAAGATGACTCTTGCCTTCACAAGGAGGAGGAATCTGGGGAGGGAAGCTGCCATGAATAAAGAGAACTTCAGGAGAGACACAGGGAGGTCATTCAAAGGTAGCTGGAGCATGGGGACACATACAGACACCCAGGACCAATGGACATCGGGGTTAACCCCAGAGGCTGGGCAGGAAGGAATCCCAGCCTCAGAGGACACCAGCCCTACCCACACCTTGGCCTTGACCTTGGACTCCAGGCTTTCAGAATTTTGAGGCCATGCCTCTGGTATTAGGTCATTGAGCCCATGGGATTTTGTTACTGAACAACTAATACAAGGATGGTGGTGCCCTCAGTTTCCTCTCTTGTTGGAGGGGTCCACCTCTGTTTCCTTGTAAAGGTCAAAGCCCTGAGCACCAGCTCACCCTCCTCAGAAGGCCTTACAGTAACACAAGTATTCCTAGGGGAGGTCCCCTGCCTCTACCCTGGAGGATCTTTGGCAACAGTGTTACATAGCGTGTTTCCAGCCAGATCTGCTGTATTACCAGGGGACAGGTTAACACTCAGTGTAGATAAGACAATCGGGCACTCTGCCAGTGGGCCCTGCTTTTTGTACAGAAGAGAGATGCACATCCGCTCTTAACACGGTCCCAAGACGATTTCCACTTTCTTTTAGATTCACAACTTTAGCCATTAAGGTGCACACCTTAATCCCAGCACTTGGGAGGCAGAGGCAGGAGGATTGCTGTGGGTTTGAAGCTAGTTTGGGCTATTTCGTGAGTTCCAGGCTAGACTGAACTGTGTGATAAGGTCCTGTCTTAGAAACATCCCCAATTTTTAAAACAATGCGATTTGAATGAACTATTCAAGCATCTGACTTGACTTGCTGTAGGTTAGTGATGATGTACCAAGGCTGGTGAATGTCACCATGTTCTAACGCCAGGTAGTGTAAACTGTGGCAGGTAAGTCGCTGAAATTCTCCTGCTGTTCCCTTTAGCTCTTCTGAGCCTGTGGGGTGCTCTCGCCTTCTCTAAGACTGTTCTGGTAACTGCAGCCTCTGTAGAGAAGGAGCAGAGATCAATGAGCCGTATAAAAACACTAATTTCCGTGTATTAGACACCGTGAAATGTGTTAATGACTTAAACGAGGGTCATCTAGGAGATTAAGAATATGGAAGCTGGTTTTAAGGGCAGAGCCTCTCCATTGAGTTTGGGCAGGAGACGGGAATCCAGGCATCTCCCTGTGCTTGAGGGGCAAGTGCTAGAGATGCTGGGGCCGGGGTCCTCATGTGGTGTCTGCACCTCCCAAACTCCATTCATACACTGAAATCCTGCGTGGTGTGATGGTGTCCGCAAGAGGACACTGTTGGGAGGTGTGACAGTCAGCCTGATCACTGTAACAAAATACCCGAGGCTTTTTTTTTTTTTTTTGAGGTTGTTTGGGTTCTGATTCTGGAAGTTTATGTCCAAGATTGAGTGGTCCCATATCTGTGAGCCTCTAGCAAAGACAGAATTCCACTGCAGCAGAATGTGGTAGAGTAAACCACATACTTTGTGAGCAGGATATAGAAGAAGGCGTGGGGAAGAGACTAATTACCCACAATTCCCTGTGAAGGCAAGTTCCTCCTACTGGGCCCCACCTTCTAGTCCTGTCCAATCAGCATCACCCTGGTGACCAGGCCTGTGATACTTGGATGAAGGGTGGGTGGGTGCGGTGCGACCCTACTTATTCAAACCACAACTGGAGATTGTGAAGCTACATGGGGCAAATCCTTCTGTGAAAGAGACCCAGAGAGTTCTCTCGTCCTTGTAGGGACAGAAGAGTTTGTCCCTTCTCTCCATCACAGGTGTCTCAGCAGATACCCCCATAACAAGAGAAATAGATACCATTTAATTAACCAGTCAAAGTTGCGTGTGGCATGGGAGTCCCAGGACCCAGGGATTTGGTTTGTTTTGCTTGGGTTCGTCAAGCAAAATACACCGGACAGACGAGAGAAGGTGCAATGGTACCAGAATGTTCACGTCCACTTTTCTTGTCTTTTCTGGCATTGTCCTTCCTCCCACAGGATGAGGGTCTGATGACAAGACAGGCCAAAGACTTTAAAAGATTTGATGTGTGTGTGTGTGTGTGTGTGTGTGTGTGTGTGTGTGTGTGTGTGTGTATTTTGCCTGCATGTTTGCCTGCATGTATATACGTATGCGCACCACATGCATGCAACACCAATGGAGTCTGGAAGAGGGGGGTTGAAACCCTTAGAACTGGGGTAACAGACAGTCGAGCATTGTCATGTGGCTGCTGGGAATCAAACCCTGCTCTAGAAGAGCAGCCAGTGCTCTTAAACCACTGGGCCATTTGTCCATCTCTGCAGCCCCCAGGTTAGAGACTCTACAACCAGCTCCTCTGCCGGAAGGTGGGGAGGGAGGCTTGCATTTCTAGTTCTCTGGCGCGTCCTTGGGGAACTGGAACTCTGGTTTCTATAATTTGCTTTGCAGGGGAGTAGGCAGAAGACCTGAGAGTTGAGGGAGAGACGTCCCCTCAGAGGCCTTCAATGTCCTCGCCTCCAAGTTCTCAGCATATCCAAGAGCCACACTTTAGGCTGTTTCCAGGGCCGTAACATGGTCTCTGCTATGCGTGGATACAGTCAGGACTATTCTAGAACCAGGAGAAACGTGTCTCAGTTGCCTGTCAGCTGCCCCGTTCATGGACCATTGTATGGCAGCCAGAACAAACTAAGGCACCTCCAGCTCCAGAAGTCCTGGTTGGGAGGGGGCAATCCCAGCAGACTCTGCAGCTGTGTGACCACGAGCCAGTGACCCCCACCTCCTTGAGACCCCCGTTCCTCCTGCGCCAAGCTCTGCAAAGAGCCACGGGCAGAAGCTCAGTTGTGTTTCTGTACTGTCCCCATTGCCTGGTGTACTGCAAATGGTAAGTAGCACAGGGACAGTGTGGATTGAGCAGGGGACAGCTTCGGAGAGAGACACGTCAGCATAGCTAACCCAAGTGTTGAGAGCTTCCCTCCATAGCTTCCTAAAATACCTTAAGAGAGAACTTTGCAGCCCGGGGTGAGACGTAGCTCTCTCCCATCTCCACAGCGGTTAAACAGCCTTGGGAACCCTTTCTTTCCAAGCTGCACGCCATTGCTGTCCCCTCTGGGGACCACGACCTATGAGGTGTCTCCCTAGATGAGTGATGACAGTTCAGACAGAGGTTGGTGCCCTCAGCAGGGTTCCCAAAAACAGGGGGTTGAGCTGGAACAATGTGCCCAGTCCACAGATACTTCTGGAAGGGAGAGCCTGTCCCGAGGGCCACACTGCAGGAATCTGGATAGATCCTGTCACTGTAAGCCTCCTATCCCTCCTGGACATGGTGTCATGGGAGGCTTTCGGCTTTATGCTTCCTGACAGCTACATGGAGACTGTGTTCCTCTGTGGTGGCCTCCAAGATGGGGAGGGCCCTATGTTCCTGTCACAGTGTGACCTCTGTGTACCCACGGCGATCCCAGTGGCTTGCCCCCTTTCCCTAAGCCCTGCACCCTGTCTACTTGGAGCCAGATTCTCCGAAATGTCCTGCTGGTCCCGTCCCTGAGGGATTCCAGATGCCAATAGAGACTGAATGCCGTGGTGTTGGTCATTGTCTATGCGCTGTAACTTTAGAAATGGACAGGATGGCGCCGCCTGCCTGTGCGAGATGTGCGCCCTCCTGAGAACAGCTTAAGCCGGGCCTCTTAGGCTGTGAGGCCTTGGTTTATTTTCCTCGCTCTCCCTGGTCTTCGCTCTCCTTTACAGCTGAGCTTTTCAAGCCAGGTCTTTGTTCTCCCACACGTGCTCCGTCTTCTCTGTGTGTTGGTTGGGATGTGAGGGGAAGGGACCCAGGAGCAGCAGAGTAAAAGGCGGCTATGGGGTTAGCGGGCTCCTTGGGACTCCCACATTCCGGGGGTGCGGAGGGAAAACAAACACCCCTTCGGCGGTGCAGAGCTGGGGAACCAGCCTCTCGAGGGTCATGCCTAGGGGCCCCTGTTTTGTTTTTAAAAAAAGAAGTAAGGACACATCATTGCTTTGCGGAACGAGCTCCAAACCATTTTCCCTTTGGTCTGTTGGCTATTTCTGGGTTGTTCTGTGTGGCTTTTCAAGAGCTCATCACATGCTCAGGAGCAGAGACCCATCAGAGCAAGCCGGCGTTCTCTGTAGCTAGGGTGAGCCCTGCACACAGGCCCCAATTAAAATCAAACTGTGTGTGTGTGGCTACATGACATTCCTGAGGCTTAATTAGGTGGAAAAGAGAGAGGTTGGGCCAGCCTCTCCATTTCCAAGCCTGCTCTCAAAGCACCCCCACCTCTGCCCAGGCCTCTCTAATTTGGGTCTTGATGAGAAAGGGACAAGGGAGGCGGTGGCGGCACTGGGGCGCGTGGGTGGGGACAGAAAGCTCCTCAGAATCGGGGGCGGGGGACTGCGAAGGAGGATCTTGAGGGTGTAGGGTGCCCTACCTTAGCAGGGTGGTGCCTGCCTCTCCTGCCAGTCATGCCCGGTGTGAGGCTTGGAGAGCCTGCACCGGAAGGCCGGTCAAGGTCAAGATCTGACCTTCACTCCTGTGATTTTGTGTGAGACCGGGAGGGCATCCCTCAGCTCTTCTTAGAGCTGCTGCTTCCCAGAGGAAGCACCAGTCCCTCCCCAGTGTGGCTGCTGAGCAGAGTTGAAAGGGCTCAGGGCATTGCTGGTTGTTATCGAGTGTCAGCCGCAATCACTAAAGCCAGCATGCCAGGGCTCAGCCTCAGCCGTGGCCTCTCCCAGTCTCCACTTTGAATTAATCAGTTCCACTTTGTGTATGAAGTCTCCCCCCCCCCTCTTTAAATTTCATGTCTCCCCAGCTGGTGAGTCCAGCCGCTGAGCGATCAGATCATGAAGGTTCTGACTTCAATTCATCCACTGACAAGATTCGCAATTGAATGACATCATCAGGAGGTGATGCGAACTTTGGGAGGTGGGGCCTCATAGGGGAAATAGGTAGGCCACTAGGAGCTATGTCTTGTCCCAGGCCCCTCTGCCCATGATGATATTCTGCTTTACTACACTTGGGCCCAGAAGCAATGGAGCATGAAGTGACTATGGATGGAAAGTTCTGAAACTGTGAACCAACACAGCCCCTCCCCCACCCCACCCCCTTTACATTGTTCCTCTCAGGGACTTGTGACAGCGTGAAAACACATGAAGACATGATCAGTTACAGAATTCTAACCACCTTCCTTGCACATTCCCCTCCATCCTGTCGGCTTCTTCCTGTCTCTCCTCTCCGTTCTTGCTGCTTCTGTCTTGACCTGAGCTGCTGGTGGAGGTCCCGAGTGTTGCCTATGACTCTGGTCAGTGTCCTGGAAAAGTCTAGATGTATTCAGGGAGTTGACAACCGGGAGGTAGGGGATGCTAAGTGTGTGCAAAAGAAGACAAAGCAGGACAGTGGAGGCAGGGAACGATCCATCTGTGTCTGGAGAAGAGGGGAGCCCACAGGCGGCTCTGGAGTTCCCACGCTGTGGCCAGAACAGCAAGTGAGAGCGGCGGGTGGGGAGGAGGATGCCCCAAAGCCCTGATCCCATGCAGGGTTCCAAACAGAAAGCGGTTGCCAAGGTGCTCCCGCATCTGTGAGTTGCTACGTGAACTCCGGTTGATCCTTTGGACAGTCGGATGATAACACAGTCCTCTGTTGATGATAAGCTGGGCAGCGACACAGGTTTTAGGGACTGACAGCTGTCGGGTAGGTCCCAGGAGGAGCTGAACAAAACAGTCATCCATCCAGGGCACCAACTGGGTGGCCCAGAGGCAGAACGCAGGGTTCTTACCTGCCTCACCGTCTGGCGTCAGCCCTTTCAAGCCAACATTTGAGCAGCTCTTACCGCTGCTCCTGTCCGGGCTCCTGAGTGGCAGTGGTGGAGAGGGTGGCTCTGACTGAGTCCTGGCCTTGTCGCTGAGCGGCTAGGTGGCCTTATGAAAGTGACTTAGACATTCTGTGTGTCGAGTTCCTCATTTGTGAAGGACCTGGGTGAGGACTGTGCTAACACACAAGGTGCTTGCCATAGAAGTGTGAGGACCTGAGTTCAATCCTCCGCCTGGGTCCACACGCCCCCTGCTTGGCTTTTTGCACAGATGCGGGGGATTTGAACTCATGTCCTCAGGCTTGAGTGACAAGCATTTATTTAATCCACTGAGCCATCTCCCCAGCCCCATAGTGGGGTTATGTAAATGTATCTGCTGCCGTGTGTTGTACATCAAGAGCGACAGACAGGCCATATTCGTACATGTTCAGTATCTGTAATCCCGCTTGTTCTTTTCCTTTGAGACAGGATCCCATTATGTAGTCCTGTCTGGTCTTGAACTCAGAGAGATCTGCCTTCTTTTACTTCCCAAATGCTAGGACTGAAAGTGTGAGGCACCACGCCTGGTACCACTTGCTCATTTTCAGTAGTTGAGGTGCAGCAATCATTTGATTCAATGCTCCCCCAGACAGCATCCCCAGGGGCAGCCCTGACAGGGGCACTTTCCCCTTCTCCAAGCCCGCTGCCATGCCCTGGAATGCCACTGTGTTTCCCTTTGTGAAGGACTGTCTTTCTGTCCGGTGCTTGAACTCTGGGCCCGCCCATGCTCATGAGGGCTGCTTCTCTTCCTCCCATTGTCCCTGTTCCAGTCTGTTCTAGAACAGACACTTCCTGCCCCCTTCACACTACGTCCCAAACCCAGCTTCCCTGCACGGGCCGGTCCTGAAAGTCAGAGCAGTCTTTAGGAATGGCCACGGCCACACCTTTGAAAACTGCTTTCCCACAGGTCCACCGCATGCTGTCACCTCCACACTCACGCTGACTGATGTCGTGCCAAGTCTACTATGTCGATGTCGATGACGACGACGACGATGGAACAAGTGACAGTCACCAGAAGATGCTTGTGGTACCCACAGACCAGCTGAGCCCTCCCTTTGCTAATCATGGCTTTAACCACTTTGGGATGTGCCAAGAGCCTTTCAGTTAGGAAAGGGACTACTAGATACAGGAATGTTAGGAGGGTATAATGTCTTAGATTTCTGACTGTATAATTGGAGGACTTCAAATGGACCCAATACAATATCACATAAAGCAGTGCATAGGTACAACCTAATGTTTTTGCTTAATGGCTGTGTGTGTGTGTGTGTGTGTGTGTGTGTGTGTGTGTGTGTGTGTGTCACTTCTGATAATACTGTCATCCTGGTCAGCTGAGGATGAGGATTAGGGCTATATCCTCCTAGGCTATAGGGGGCGGGTTATAATAAGCTGTAGGACAGCCCATATTCAGTCCCCAGAACCCACATAAAAAAGGCCTGGAAATAGTGGGGGCGGAAGGGTTTAACTGAGGAGGGGACAGATGTGACTAGGGAGTGGGGGTGGGGAGCAACCAAAATGAAGGAGGTGTGAAAAGGCCATATGGGGACCTACTATCTTGGAACTAAATAAAAAAAATAGGATTTATTAAAACTTCTTTAAAGTCTGAAGGGAGACACACTTCAGTGTGTGTCTCAAAAGGCTGCTCTAAGAAGCCATGTATTATAGCTTTCATCGTTCCAAAAGGTGCTACCCAGGCTATTGGAAGAGAAAGAGCATCAATTATGTTACCCAGCTGTGACCCTGATGGACTATTAGACCAGGCAAGGTGTGTTAAATTGTGCGACAGTGGTGCTATGATTATGGGGAAAACCAACCACTCTCTGATTGGCTGTGAGGCCTGCTCCACATGAGTGGATCCACGCTTGTTACTATAAACTTGACCAAAAACCGCAGGATGGTGGAAATCATAGCCCTCAGGGGGAACTGAACACTGTTGTTTATCTAAATTGACATACTGTCAAATTGCCTTCTAAATATTTGTGCTTGGACCCATAGACAAATGCTACCCTCAGCCTTATTTAGAGAAGCCTCTTGGCAGTGAACAGTGGTGAACGCAGAGGCTCGGGGCTGTAGGAGATGCTGAGAATAAGGGACAAATGAGTGCTCATCTCTAAATAAGACAGTTTTACCATCTCCTGTGAGGCCCAGGGAACACTGCAAAGGTGGAGTGGAAAGAATGTAGGAGCCAGAGCACAGGAAGAAGGTTGTTAAATGCCATCTCCTGGGCTAGACAGCCATTGCATCCAGCAACTCACAGCGGCTGTGGTTGCCTGCGCTGGGTCTGTCCAGCATGGGCTAGTCAACAGTCAGGCATGGGTAGAGGAGACCCTCCATCTCCCTGCTGAACTTTGCCTATTGATAGATGCTGGGAGGGAGATGTATTAGTTACTTTTCTACTGATAAAACACATGACCAATGCAACTAATAGAAGGAAACATTTCCTTCTATTTCCTTGGGCGTAGGGTTCTACCATCATGGCGGAGAGGCATGGCTACAGGGCGGGGAAGGGGAGCGAACACTTTTTTTTTAACCATAGAAGAAATCAGAGAGAGAAAGAGA